AAGGATGAGAACGGGCTGGAATGATGAACAAATGAAGGGTATACATTTTGTCAGCATTGACCTAAGGATTCCAATGATATAAGTAACTTGAGCTTACACCTGACGGTTTAGGAGTCATGAGCCATTCCATACTTTTGACCATCGTAGCACCCCCGTCAGGCCGATAGGGGTGAGCCTTGGTGACGTGGCACTACCAGCCCTCAAAGTTTCAAGTCTCTACATCTTACGGTTTTACCCCTAAACAAAAATAATTAGGAATCAATGCTATTATAGTATATAAAAAATATACTGCTAAGTTGAAAACCTAAAACTTGATGCTTTCACATTTGTTTGGAACTATTGGACTATAAAAAAATGTAACTAACAATGCAAATTTTGTATGAAATATAAGTAGTTTGATATTACCTAGTTGTTTTAATCATCTTTTTCACTGCTAAACTGCTGTAGTTTATCAATTACTAATCCTCGTGCCATTCTAAACCTATATGGCATGATAAAAACCAGCTCAATATACATTTATGGTCATGTAGGGAAGGGGCATCATAACTAACAACATTTACAGATTAACACAAATGATTACAAATCCCAGTTTATACTTTTATGGCTCTATAACACTTAAATGAGTGATGATTACAGTCTAGCCTTCAGAGAGTCTCAGTGACAGGTCGTCTGCTTTCTCTCCAAGGATTTCCCTATATAAAATAAAATCACCCTCCCCTTTCCTTTCCTCTACTTCTCTATCCTCTCCTTCTCTCAGAGCAAACAACCTTCTCTCCTCTTGTTATTAACTAAATATGAGCACTTTGACCGGAGGACAAAAATTCAATATTTTCCCCACCAAATATTTAAACCAAGCAAATAAACAGACAAATAAATAGGTCTCCCAGGCGACCGGGCGAGTGAGGAGGGCAAGAATTTGTAATTTGACGGGCGAGTTATTTGGGAGACTGAAGCCCACAGCTATTCAGGGGCTCATTTCAGCACCTGTCAATCAATGAGCACAGAGGAGAGTGTGTAGGTGTGTGTACGACTGCGAAGTGGCCGGACGCACAAACAGCCTTCAAGGTCGGAGCAGATAAGCTGAATATCGTACCTGATGAATATATCACCCTCTCCTTCTTCATCTCTTCTCGCAGGCCTATCGAAACATCTTAATTCCCCTCTAATAGCCAGCTTTATCCGTCCTGTGTCCAGAAAATGCATTAAAAGAGAAAGCAAAAAAAGCAAGAAAGATAGAAAGATTTGAAATCGGAGATCATGAAGCATATATGTGCAGACAAACAAGCCAGCGATATTATGAAGGCCTTTCATCCATATTAGATGAGTTGCAGATGACTCTATTAAGTCAGGCTAGATTGAGCTGAGCAGAGACAGAGAGAGAGAGTGAGGGAGCGCAAGCGAGTGATACAAAGCAAAAAAAAAAAAAAAAACACTATCTTTAATAAAACAAACAATCATACAAAAGGTCTGCTTGAACTTTAACCACCTCAAAACAAAAAAAAAAAAAATGAGAGAGATTGAAATGGCTGCAGCGTTCAGGCTGGGGAACTAGTGGTTTGGTGTATTTGAGGTTTTTGGGGCCAGTGGTGGCCAGTGCTGTGGGACAGGACAGGAAGTGGGTCATACGACATGACAGTCACTTCTTAAGTGGGCCCTGAGACCAAAGCCATTGCAGAGTGGAAGGACTTCAGAGGGCCACCGATACTCACACACTGTATCTCTCTCTGAAGCGTAGCGAATACATCTCTGAAGTCAGGTCACAGCAGAGTTTAGCAGAATGAAACTGTCAACAGCACAGACACACACACACTGGAATCCTTTAAGCCAGATCACAGCAGTGTCCCTTCACTCAAGTGCCAAAAATGTGCTCCAAGAGTTTCACATCACTATCAGCACATCAGTCAAAAGCCAGATCCGTTCCATCACAAACACAGATACACACACACACACACACTGCTGAGAGCCCTGGATCCCTGCATCCTCTAATGAGAAAAGTACGGTAAGATCCTCTGTTCTCATACCACATGCAATACCTACACTGAACAAAAAAGTATTTTTCTGTATTTTTATGTTGTAAAAATATCTAAACAACCCAAAAATTTTCACAAAAATTACATTGTACAAGATATTACGATTTCAGAAAATACATCTTGAAGTAGGTTCATAACATTCTTGACACATGGATATATAGTTATTCTTGCTAAAGGCACAAATCTCTATAAATTTAGTTTAAATAAAAAAACAATATAAAAGAAACAATTGAGATTTTCTAATGAGTAAATTGTGTTTAAAGACTAAGATACACTTCTGTTACAATGGTTTAAAAAAAAATTAAGGAATTTAACAAATTTACCAGTTTTTCAATTCATCAAAAGTGACATTAGCTATTTACTAATATGTTTTATTATTATTATTTCAAACAAACAGTTATTTTTAACTTTCAATTATTAAAATATTAAGCAGCAAAGCTTTTCAACATTGATAATGATAAGAAATGTTTCTTGAGCAGTGGATCAGCATTAGAATGATTTCTGAAGGATCATTTGACTCCGAAGACTGGACTAATGATGCTGAAAATACAGCTTTGACATCACAAGAATGAATTACATTTGACAATATACACAAACAGAAAACAGTTGCTATAATAGCTGTAACGATCAAATTAAAACTGATCGGCCTTAGAATCGAATATTTGAAAAGTATATATTCTCTGCATATAAGCATATTTGATCTAACATAATTAGCTTTTTTTTTTATTAGCATATCATGTTTCAAGGTGTTTTCAATATGTTTATCGAAAAAGGAAAATACTAAAATTATAATTAAAAAGTATAAAATTTCAGACGTGCACTACCTGCGAGCCAACAGTTATGCTGATGAATTGTATTACATGACAAAATAGTTGATTATTATTAATAAATGATTATTTTTTTATTTAACATTGGCATTTCCCATACATACATTTTATAAGAGTACTAACAACGGTTCTTCTCCTAGGCCAAATGGTTGTTTGGGCAGCCATGACAGGCGTGAGTGGCCGTTTAACCCACACCGCACTGAGGAGTGTTGTCATGGCAGCATCATGCAGTAACCATGAGGTTCATGGGTCTGACAGGTCTACTCATTGCTGGTTAACTGGGAGAACTGCATTATGTGTTCATCATGTGGACACACACGGTGCTCTTGGGACTCGCTGTCTCACTGAATAACTCACTCTTCAGACTGTGTAGAGATGTGGACTCATGAGTACATGTTAGCACACACACACAACCTCAAGTTTGCGGTTATATTGTCTGGACTCACCAGATGTCTGCTTTTTTTTATTTATTTATCAAAAACAGGCAAAATTAAATAAAGAAACAAATGATCTCGGATCACATTTAAATTCTGCCATTCCTCTACTCCGCTTTAACATGTCAGGAGATCTGTGAAAGAATATTGCTGCTCTTTTCCCTTCAATGAAAACATGCAATGACATTGGCTGTCAAGCTATAAAAAGGACAGAAAAACGCCATAAAAGTGGTTCATATGATTCATGTGCTACACAAGTCATGTCTTCTAATGCTGTACAATAGAAGAGAAAGTAAAAAATGGTAATACTAACCACAGATTTGAATCATAAATCGAAACTGGTATTCTAAAAACCCATAGGAAAAAATTCCAAAAGAAACATGACCTAAAATGCAAATTATCTTCCAGGTTTAATGATTACAAACTACAGCTATATTGCAATGGGGGAAAACAAACTGTACAGTGTATTAACCCATTATGAGTCACTAAATATAATGTGTACAATGCATTTGTCCTTCAAATCATTTATGTTGTTGAATGTCACCTCTGAGATGTGATCCAACTTTAACTTAGCCGTCAATCATATAATAATCATCATGCCTGCAGGACACACACACACACACACACTTGATTCCATATGCACCTGGTCATCTTCTTCTCACCAACAGTGAAATAAACCAGAAACTACTGATGACCTTACTTAGAACAATGCATACCTGTGCACACATGCCAGGAAAGACTGCAGTGATCACCTGCTCACCTGAGGCTCAGTCATCTATCACACCTTCACTACAGACTAGAGGAAGCACCTCCAACCCCTACAGGCAACACACACACACACACACAAAACCTCAGAGAGAGAGAGAGCTGAGACAAGAGCTCAAATGAGCTCTATTGGTCCCCATAATAGCTCTGAAAGGATAGAAATATACAAGGATAGAAATACACAAACACACACATATATATATATATAACCATGACGTCATCATACCTCCACAATCTCACAGCCTTTTATTTATATATATATATATATATATATATATATATATATATACACAAATGAGCTCACGTGATCCATGCCAAATGTATACATTTGACATGGATCACGTGATCTCATTTGTACAAGATACCAGATTTTCTTGTTTTCTTGTTTGACTTAAAACCAAAGTCAAGTCAATAAACCAAATACGATACTAAACAATTCTGAAATGTTAAATTAAACTTTTCCCTCTAATCATAGCATAGTCATTTATAATATAAAACAAACAAACAAAATTTGATTTAAATCTGAGAAAATTAAATGCATTTTCACTGCTCTCTGTCTTTTGGATCCCACTGTTATTATAGGTAACACTTCTAAATTTCACTTAATTAACCATATATATATATATATATATATATATATATATATATATATATCCATAGGTTATATGATAGTGAATACTATTGAGTAACTATCTGAATGCACAGTTAAATTGTCACTTTTAATATTTATTTTTATAAATCGCTACTAATGTACACATATAATTTCATACAAAAAAAAAAAAATGAATAACCATGTACTGATTGATAAACCAGCATTGCATTTTATTTCTATCATAACTAGTGCTTTGCACACACAATGCTTTCAGAAAAGCAGTGGGGCTTGTGGCACTCCGGAAAAGAATACAGAGAAAAAAGAAAAGAAAAAAAAAAACATGAAAGAAAGATTATATATACACATATATATATTTATATACCAACCTCACAGCATTTACTCAGCAAAAACACAGTATTTGGCAACCAATGACAACTCAAAAACTTCAAAAGTATAAAACACTTTTAAGCATCTTTATCGAATACTATCATATGGATCTTCTACATTAACACTGATGACATAGAAAAGCATATAAAACAAAAAGAAAGCTGCTGGACTACAACAGTCATCCCTTTTTCATTCATCCTTCATTCATTTAGAGGACAGAGTGCTTTTCCTCCTTCACTCGTTAAAAGATGTTCGAGTGCATTCCTCCCGAAACTGGCAGCATTTCAGACATAGGCAGGCATTATTAAAAGGTTAAGAGCCAATGAGCTGCGAGAATATTGCGACACAAGGGGTGTAAGTTCTCTTGGGAGTTCAGTAAAAGCCGCCTATGACACTACTTGGCTTGGGAGAGAAACATCTTATGTATACACACACACACACACACACACACACACACACACACACATACATACATTCAGTCACACTAAAATAAAACCCCCTACACGATTACATACACATGTGCGTGCCTCGTACCTACATGCACCTATATAGACAAACATCATCGACAAACAAGTCCGTCTACACAACATTATCTTTACCTTCTCCCTACAAACATTCAGAAGGACATGCACGGAAACATTCAAACACACTTGGGGCAAATTCAAACATACTAAATCCCTAGACAATACGCCAGGTAAAAGGCAACAGCACGCATATGACACCCGTTAATGATGTCATCATACCTCCACAATCTCATATCATTTTTTACCGACTTTCTTCCTCAAAAGATGGCACGCAGACAAACACACACACACACACACACATACATAGAGGAGAAGTGAACTGTGTATACTGTGTACATCTATATAATGTCTGTCCAAAAAAAGCTTCAGAGGATATATGGAGAACTGAAGTAAAACACAAACATTTATGGATATATATTTATATATATACGTATATTTATGAATAGGTATTGTATGCTACTACTGATATGCATCTATGAATGGTCATTGTAACACTACGGACTCTGTTAAAGTGATAGTAAACGATACTGATGGAAATAGGAAATAAAATGTCCTGTCCAGATGTCACCCTGTATGCACCCCGGTATCCATCCTTATATTCATCTGTCCATCCGAGCGGACCTCAATGTGGTGTGTGTTAGGGTGAGTGTTGGTCTTCAGGCAAAGGTGGGCCAGAAAGGAGAAACTGAACAGGTGTGTGTTGCTTGTTTTTTGTCACCTGTGATCTCCATCATGGCCTCTTTATCCTAACATCCACCCAAAACATTCTTTCTCTCCATTTATCTCCCTCTTTTACAAACATCTTACATCCTAGAAGGAAAGAAAAAGCGAAAGAAAGTCACATTTTGAGAATGTATGCTTTACTGTATCAATCTATGAAGCACTATTCAATCACAAAATTGAGAGATGGATCATTATAATCTGATCATCATAATTTGTTAAGGAACCTTAAGGCCACTTTCAGTTATTTTAATACCAATCTCTACATGAAAACAATAAGACGTCAACAAAAACACAGTTATTCAACTTTACCTCCAGAGAAGTGACTCGACGCGGTTGATGATGTCAGAGAGGTCAAAGGGGAGGGGCATGTCAGGATCGTCATTACTCCAATAGGGGCGGTCGACAGGTGCTTCCTCAGGGGGCAAGGTCTGTGCCAGGCTGGATTGGCATCTGTTGGGTCAAAAAAATAAATAAAAAACTTAATTTAATAAATAAACTAAATAAATACAAGTAATATGTATCATATCTTTACGTTGAAGTTAAAAAAAGTTTAGGGTCAGTGAGATTTTTTTTGGGAAAAAAAAAATAAATGTATTCAAAGACATTAAATTGATAGAAAGAAAGAAAGAAAGAAAGAAAGAAAGAAGAAAAGAAGAAAGAAAGAAAGAAAGAAAGAAAGAAAGAAAGAAAGAAAGAAAGAAGAAAGAAAGAAAGAAAGAACGAGAAAGAAAGAAAGAAAGAAAGAAAAGAAGAAAGAAAGAAAGAAGAAGAAAGAAAGAGAAAGAAGAAAGAAAGAAGAAAGAAAGAAAGAAAGAGAAGAAAGAAAGAAAGAAAGAAAGAAAGAAAGAAAGAAAGAAAGAAAGAAAGAAAGAAAGAAGAAAGAAGAAAGAAAGAAGAAAGAAAGAAAGAAGAAAGAAAGAAAGAAAGAAAGAAAGAAAGAAAGAAAGAAAGAAAAGAAAGAAAGAAAGAAAGAAAGAAAGAAAGAAAGAAAGAAAGAAAGAAGAAAGAAAGAAAGAAGAAGAAGAAAGAAAGAAAGAAGAAAGAAAGAAAGAAAGAAAAGAAGAAAGAAAGAAAGAAAGAAAGAAAAGAAAGAAAGAAAGAAAGAAAGAAAGAAAGAAAGAAAGAAAAAGAAAGAAGAAAGAAAGAAGAAAGAAAGAAAGAAAGAAAAGAAAGAAAGAAAGAAAGAAAGAAAGAAAGAAAGAAAGAAAGAAAGAAAAGAAAAGAAAGAAAGAAAGAAGAAAGAAAGAAAGAAAGAAGGAAAGAAGAAAGAAAGAAAGAAAGAAAGAAGAAAGAAAGAAAGAAGAAAGAAAGAAAGAAGAAAGAAAGAAAGAAAGAAAGAAGAAAGAAAGAAAGAAAGAAAGAAAGAAAGAAAGAAAGAAAGAAAGAAAGAAAGAAAGAAAGAAAGAAAGAAAGAAGCACCAAAACAGCATAGAAAGATTTCTGACAATGAAGACAACTGTCATCACAGAAATAAATTACATTTTAAAATATACTGAAATAGAAACCAGTTATTTTAAATTCTAATAATAAAAATAAAATGTGTGCTAATGTTGCTGAGGTGTTTCTTTTCCTGTTCCCACACTGCACTCCTTCCAGGATCATAGTCTGGGGGTTGCCTATTTAGAGACTTTACAAAATACTACTGACCCCAAACTTTTTTTTAACTGTAGTGTATACAATGAACATTTCTTAACTGACTCGAAAACAGCCCCAGGCTACCGTGCGTGCGTTCCAGAGTGTGCATGAAGAGTTAATTTCGCCTTAAACACACAAATATGTGTGTGTGTGTGTGTGTGTGTCAAGGGGCAGTCCACACACACATTTCCTGATTTCTTTACAACACACAATAACCTGCCCTAATGGCACGTTTATAAAAAAGCAAGGACTGTGCAGCTTTAGTGTGTGTGATGCATAATCTCCTTGCTCCTCCTTTGAAGGAAGCCTTAGGAATGCACTTCTGCAACCCTACAAGTGTAAGCAGTGTAAATCACCTTCTAAACACACCTGGCCAGTGCTGATTAATATCTCAGTCATTTACACCTGGGCAGGTGAAGCCTGTGGCTTTAATTCCAAGAAACTTTGATGTTGCAGCATTTCATTTTGTCACCTAATTAATATACAGTGTGGTTTTTCACTAGAATATGACAACATAGCTTCTCATAAATATGAAGAAACTGTGTGTGTGTGTGTGTGTGTGTGTGTGTGTGTGTGTGTGTTTAATAAAATATTAAACTGTTACATTGTAACAATTCCACAATAGTAGCTACTGTTTTACTGTACTTTAGACCAAATACATTCAGCTTTGGTGAGCATAAGTGACGTCTTCAAAAATGTGTTCATTTTAAAATATCTGGAAAAATTATGAGCCAACATTAGGAAACAGAGACTTGGGACGGGTGCATTCTTTGGATTTGATCCTATAAGCAACTACCATAGCAAATACATAGCAACACCTTGGCAACCACACACACAACAACCTAGCATTGTGGTGGGGAGGTTTGCATGAGAAAGCAAAACTCAAATCTGCTTCAAATAAAGTTTTTTCTGTTTTTTTACTTCGCAGACTTGCATGAATAATCACTATCCTCACAAATATACAAAGTTCTGGCACAAACACTTGTCTCAAGCAATCATAGCCTATAATAAACACTCATGTTCATCGACTCAAAGACTGCAGCGGTGCCCAGAGGAGGCCATTGTTATAGATGGGTCTGTGCTGTCCCGTGGTCAGAGGACAGCCCCTCTCTGACACTATTTGTGGTTATATATTTTGTAAGGGCCACTTAATGGTAGAGTGGCTCTCCTGTTAAGTGGTGTCTGTCCAACTGCACCAGCCACATGAGAGGCTGCATTACACGCCAAGGGTGGAATTAGCATATAGCGCTTCGATATATCATCCTCATACTGCATCAGGGCTTGACAATAACATCCGTTAACATGCGCTAAGTACCCTAATGTAGCACATCAGTTCATAAATAATATGAGAGCTCGTACTATACACGCATGCGTGTGTGTTTAAACTCTCTCATCATTTACTGGATTATTGGAAGAGACAGAGAAGAGCTAACTGAAGTAAATAGACTGTGGTGAAAGAGACCACAATGGAATGAATGCTAGCCATGATGATCCACTTAAACATACACACTTAAAGGGATTGTTTGAACATCTTGGGATCATTGACTCACTCGTATGTTGTTTCTAACTTGTGAACGACAGGTGGAAAACAAATGGAGAAGTTTAGCAGAATGTCCAAGCTGTTATCCTAACAATAAACAATACTTTTACAAAATTTAAATGCTGTATAAATTAACATACACTCTACCGTTCAGAATTACGTTTAGAAAGGGCACATTACATTTATCAAAGTCACTCCCAATGTCGGCTTCCATAAAAATATTAAACAGCACAACTAGAAATGATTAGAATGATTTCTGAAAGAATATTAGAATGATCTCTTTTCCATACAATAAAAGTGAAAGGTGACCTGGTATATTATGGTGTCATATAACAGCTTTGCGTGTAGATGAGACCAAAATTGCACTAATTACTACCAAAATAGCTTGACAGCCATGGTCACCTTTCATCTTAAGGAAAACAGCAGCTTGGACTTTAATTAAAACACCTCTATTTGTGTTCCACGGATAATAATAATAGTACTAATAAAAAAAGTCATAAGAGTTTTGCAAAACAAGATGGTGGGTAAATCAGGATGGGATTTTCCCTTTAAGATGGTACATCATTATCTGTGGTGAGAGTAAATAAATTCAGACAGATGTTAAGCAACCTCCCAAAATATAGACCTTTTTATTTTCACAATATTGAATCATTTCCCATCTTGCAGTCCAAGTGTGGTAAACCCCACATTATGGGGACAAAATATCCCCACAAAGATGGCAATATCCGAAATCATTGTTGGACCATTTTTAACAGCTTATAAATCATACAGAATGATCTTTTTTGAAAATGTAAAATAGCAAAACATTTTAGACGCATAGACTTAGGAGTAGTGTTAGTGTAAAGTGATACAATATACAGTTTGTACAGAATAAAAATCATTATGGCCTCGTTTACACTGCATGGTTCAAGTGACCCAAATCCGATTTTTTCCTCTCATGTGGCACAGGTCGGATATGACCGGTGAACGTGTAAGCAGGAAAAAAGCGCATGGATTACGATTTTCTCAGATCGGATTCAGGCCTCATTTATATGTGGTAATAAATCGGATATGGGCCAGATACGTTCATTTGCGTGTGCCATGTAAGCAGACAAATCGGATATTCCCCAGTAAATGCGAGTCATGCGTCATTAAAAACTGCGCGATTATTGGCGCGAGCCGTGCGATGGAAGAAAGGATACACACAGTGGAGCAATGCGGAGGTTTTATGTCTTTTGAGTGTTTGGGGTGCAGAGTGCAGGCAAAAATGCAGGGTTGTTACAGAAATCCGTTTTTGAAGACATTTCACGAGATATGAGGCATCGTTTTAAAGAGCCTCTCCTCTTTTTTCTCTGCCGTACGAGACCAATGTTTTGATGATTTATTGAAATATTGTGGAAAGAAAACACTGAATAATTTTATTCGCATCGGCATCCATTGAATTTCGTGCTGTTTTGCTTAATTTCCCGGTTCAGAACCATCAGAACGTCTACATTTGGTCGTTTCAGCAGTGTATAGTGTGAATGCAAAAATCGGATATGGGTCACTTTTAAAAGATGATGTAAGCAGGTCGTCAAAAAAAATCGGATATAGTCAGAAAATCGGATTTGGGCATCAAGACCTGCAGTGTAAATGCAGCCAAAGTCTATGGAAAGTCCCCATAAAACGTGAAAGCACAGCATGTGTGTGTGTGTGTGTACTATTGGAAGTATATTTGGAAGTGTATGCCAACCATCCATACAGATTAACCTCTGCGAGATGCAGTCTGCCTCTCCCATCTGACCCGCGCTCAGGAGAGATCGACGTTACAATCACTCATTTCAATTTGCTCTGAAACCCTATAACCCTACAGCCAGGCCTGCTGGAATAGCGAGCTAATGTGGAGGGAAGGAGATCTATCACCTCTGTTCTTCTGGGGGGGGTGGCTCACATACTCCCACCCGACACATTCGGTGCACTTGAACTTCGACTCGGTCTGCGAACAATGCAACGCATACACGCACACCTGGCCTCCCAGCTGAAACTAACCACTTTAGCTAAAGTGAGTGTTAATTATGGACAGGCAAGCAGTCAATAAAAGGTTAATGCAGAAGGCAGTGGATAAATTCCTTTAAGCATTGCATCACTAGGCCATATCTGGGCAGCACGCAAGCCTCTCTCTGTGTCTGATCAATACATTTTACTGTAATGTTCTCCGCATCGATTTCCCTCGCTCTCTGTATCCTCCTTCAACTGAGATAAACTGGAGGAGAGGGGGAGTGAAAAGCAAGAAGGAACTGATAAATGAAATGATTAA